CCTAAACCCATAAGTTTCCAGTGGGGGGTCGGGGGTTAACCGGGTTGTGCGTGATAGGCAACGACCTCCCGAGTGCCGCTTGGCATAATGATTCTGTCGCGGTTAAGGGTGTAGGGTTTAGGGTTTAGCGCCCTGGCCCTCAACCCTAAACCCCAGCAGTGAGTCACAAGCAGTAGGTCACTGGGTTTGGGTCTTGTGCCCAGTTCTGTGACGTGAGCGACCCTAAGCGTCCTTCCCCCTGGAGGTCCCCTAAACCCCAAAACCTGAACCTGTCACATGTAGGGTAAACAGCTACCCCCTTGCAACGTGCATTGTAGGGTTTATCACAGCCCCCTCCAACTGTTGGTACCGCAGCCCTTCCTTGCCATACCCTGAGGCTCCATGTACCTATGTAGTCTATTCCCAGACCTTCAAGGGGCTCCTCTTAAGGTACTTTGAGGCCGAAGTATCTACTATGTACAGGTGCATGGAGCCTTGAGGTTCAGTTTGGTAAGCATGGTTAGGGTTTAGGGTTTAGAGCGATTTCTGTGTTGAGCTGAGGCTTAGAAAGACTCCAAATCAGAGTCAGAAAGGAGGTACAGCTGAAATGACCTTACCGGGTCCTCAGTACCTTCAGCGGGGATACTTACCCAAAGGGTACGAAACACCTACAGAGTGGGAAGTAGGGCTTCTATAGTAGGAATTGCTATGAGGGTTTGGGTAAGTAGCCCCCATATAGGTGCTTAGGACCCTTATGGTTACACAAACTGTCCTGCTTCCTGGTAGGCTCTCTACTTTGTACGAGGTAGGAATGTAGGACCCTTTGATGACATCTCGGCTGGAAAGCCCGAGGCGTGCGTCGTAGGGTTCGTCCTGCAGCTCTCGGTGAACTAGACTGGCAATCGCACAACAAACCACCCGCAACAAAGCCCAACCTAAAGCCTCGAATACGGCCCCTAAGGCTGTAAACCCCGAACCTAAGCCCTAAACATAACCTTGATCCCCAAAACAACAACTCCCCAAGCCCACAAACAAACAAAAAAAAGAAAACCGTGAACGTTTAGACATAAACCTTACAGCTTGAAGACCTTCCAAACCCTAAAACCCTGAACCTCTACAGTAAATCTTACAAACCCAAAGGGTCCAAAATACCTATTATGGTAGAATGTAAGGTTTCTGTATGAGGAATCCTTATGATGATTTGGAAACATGCTCCCGTCACAGCACCTGGGACCCTTTTGGGAAACGAGCCAGGGCAACCCGTTTCGAGGCTTGCAGATGATGTTGCACATCTTGTACCTCAAGTAGAACGTTTTGATCTTCATAGTTTAGTGCTTAAGATTTAGGGCCTTGGGGGTTCAGGGGTTTAGGGTTCAGGTTAGGGTTTATGAGTCAATGGTTCTTAGGGTTCTTGGTCCCGGGAGTCTGGGTGGACATGCTAAATTGGGGCGCCTTTGGAGAGTGCTTTCGGGTTTAGGGTTTAGGGCTCCAGGGCTTTATAAATTCGGGTTCAGGTTTCTGTTGCTGCGGAAGTTCTGATCGTTTGGTGGCTCTGCCCTACGTGCTCGATTCAGGGCTTACAGCGGTTTAGAATACGGAGAATTCCGACACTAACCATCCCAAATCCATGTTCCACTTTCTGGGGGTCATTCTTTTCCAGCACAGCCGAAACCTCCGAGATTTGCAAACCACTGCAGCCTACAGCGGAAAAAGGCCAACCCTCTAAGCCCTAACCTCCAAATCCCGTAACCCCTAAGGCTAAAGCCCAAAACTCTCACAACCCCTAAACCCCAAAACCCACAAAACAAAAAACAGTACACTGAGGCCCTAGAGTCCTAGAGCCCTTAAAACCCTACGGCGACCCTCCCAGAACAGCAAAGCTGCACAAACCTAATGTAGAAGCCTGGATAATTGCCTAGCTCCAGGTTCTTGCTTCATCTAGCTGTATGTACTAATTGTTTGTTGCTGAGGTTGATGTTCTGATTGTGGTTGTCATGGCTATTGCTAATTTTGCTATCCTCAAGTATTGTTACTACTATGAAATGCTCGTATTTTTACTAGTAGTAGCGGGAGGAGGAGTAGTAGTAGTCGTGGTGGTGGTGGTGGTGGTGGTGGTAGTAGTAGTAGTAGTAGCAGTAGCAGTAGTACTAGTAGTAGTAGAAGTAGTAGAAGTAGAAGTAGAAGTAGAAGTAGTAGTAGTAGTAGTAGTAGTAGTAGTAATAGCGGGAGGAGGAGTAGTAGTCGTCGTCGTGGTGGTGGTGGTAGTAGTCGTAGTAGAAGTAGTAGCAGCAGCCGCCGCCCGCCTGCTCCTGTGACCCCCTTAGCCTTTAGCTGCGTTTTACAGCACCCAGCGGCCGAGGACTACTGTAAAGGAGCAGGCCGACGATTTTACCTTTAGAATAGTAGTCGGTGGACTACTATGGTGAATTGCTATTTGTTTGAAAGCAGGCGGCGGACGATTATTATATTTCTGCTGTTACTAGCATTAATTCCTCCTCCGCCGCCCATCCCGCCCGGGTCCGACTTCCTCGCAGCTTTGGGTTCAGCACACACGCGCCAACATACACATAAATGTATGTTTTAATGTATATATGCATATGTGTATGTATTATATGTATATGCCTAAATCTAAACCGTAAACCGCAACCCCTGAAAACGCAAAATCCTAAACCTGTACATGGCTGAGAGGCTGGGGTACCAAAGCCCGAACAAGGCATGTAAAAACAAAAGCTTAAAGGTCACATACTCAACCTAATCCCATAGGCCCGAAACCCTAAACCCCAAAACGACTTATATAAAGAAATCATACTAAGGAACCCGAAAACAGGTGTAGGTCCAGGCATGCCATAAACCCCAAACCCTAAACCTCAAACCACTGCGAAGATTGGGGCCCGCGCCTCTCTTGCAGCAAGCTTGGGCCCCGGTCCGCCATGGCGCTGAACACGACAGCCGCGCCGACGAGGGCTCTTATACTCTAAGGCTCGCCATGTAGCCATACGGTTGACGTAAAGTTTACCGAGGGACTGGACCCTGAGGAAGACTGCTGTTATTGTGGAACTATATTGAAGGACCCTAAGGAAGACTGTTATATGTATGGTAGAACTCTGAGGAATACGTCTACTATATGCTTTTGGGCCTTGAAGCGATTCCTTTCCAGCTAGGGCCTAAGTTTTATACTATTTAGGTACATGGAGCCTTAGGGTTAGGCATTCTGACTTGTGTCTTCAGAAGGGTTCTGTCGGGTCCTTTATTTGGGAGGAGGGGCTTGTAGGGGTTTATATCTTGTTCGGGATTCGGAATGTGTCCAAAGACTCAGGTTCTGAAGCTTTGGTGCTTAAAGGAGTGCTGCCATGCATGGGTGTCGAGCTAGTAGAGCTTGAAGCTGGGTCACGTTGTTTGGACGTGCGGGCATGATCCTAATAAACCCTAAACCTAAACCCCCAAAACTCCAAAACCCTAAACCCCAAAGCCCTAAACCCTAAACCCGAAAACCCGTGGACCCTAAAACGCCAAAACCCCTAAACCATAAAACTCCAAAACCCACGCCGTTTGGAGTGCTCTTCGTGAAAAAAAACCATGTTATCTGCCATTCTAGGATGCTTAGGGTATAAGGTTATAGGGTTTAGGGTATAGGGTTTAGGGTAGAAGGTTGTAGGGTTTAGGGTTTAGGGTCTCGCCCAAAGCGACGACAAGCCATGAACGTAAAACAACAACCCCGAAACTAAAGGGGCTTGAACATAGTGTTGATGATATAAATCCTGCACTACCTTAAGGACCCTAAAACTATGGGATTGTGGTATATTCCTTATTATTGGTAATGCAGGATGTATATCACCATCCGTGGTACATAGAAGACTACAGAAACTAACACATAGCACATCTACACATACTTGTGCACATATCTGTACGTGTGTGCGCGTGTACGTAATTATAACATATATATATACGTGTATATATATATACCTTTTTATATTTATATTTATTTTTATCTTTCTATCTATCTATTTATTTATTTCTGCAACAAAGAGTGGAGAAGAGTGGCGGATTTTGCCTTGGCACTCCATAGCTCACCGGCTTCTCTTAACCCTAGCTAACAATCCCTAAATCCCTAAAACCCGAGGCCTGAAAACCTTGAATCCAACTGCGGCCGGGGGGAAAAGCACGTCATCTCGTGCGGACACCAAGAGAAAGAGAGGGCTGCGGAATTTTGAGGTTCTCCTCGCCAGTTCTTGCAACAATGGCCGCGGAGGGTCGAGGGCACCAACATAACCCTAAGGGTCCAAGCACCCAATAATCATGCACACTCTCAAATGGTAACCTACAAAACTACTATCCTAAACCCAAGTACCTTATTACTGCGTCCTTCGGGGTAAAGGCCTTAATGATTGTAACAGTATTCTGGGGTATAGTACAATACAAAATACTGATATAAGGACGGGGATCTTGTTTGTCACAAAAACTGACAAGATTTCGCGGAGACCTCGTTGTGGTGAGGCATGGCATACCTCTAAGAACCGTAGCATGCATTTTGCATCCAAAGGTGCTCTGGATTCTTCCTGGTCTCGGCCTAGGGTTTGCAGTTTAGGGTTTCGGTGTTTAGGCCGTAGGGTCCATTGAGGGCCTCTCGTACAGGTCACAAGTATTTGCTTGCGCAAAGAAACAAATGCCGAGCAATCAATAGTCCGTGAAAAGTTCTACGCTACAACACTACTATCAGCCCAAGTACCGAAGAAGGTCTCGCGACACCTCACCTTCTTCCCCGGTCATTATAAGTCCATGCTTGGGGCATCACAGAAGATGGTTTCGGAGAAGCATGTGCACAACGACTACGAAGCCTATTGAATTTGTATAAGATCCTATGTATCCCTGTGTTGTTGATGGCTCCAGGCCCGCAAAGCCATAGCAAGCCTCTCGAGATTCAAAGCTCTTGGCAGCATCTTCGATGCCTTCCTTCCACTACGGCTTACCCTTTCCCATGATTTGGGAATAATGGCCACACGTGCCGATCCAAGGCTCTGCTCCTATCGCAAAGCTGCGCCACACCAGGAGGTTCCAGTGGCTATAAAACCCTGTTTGTGCCGAAGCAGAATGCATCTGCCGCACGGATTCCCCCGTAGACACAATACAGTGGGAACCTTGCAGCCGCCATGTGCAGCGGGGGCCATACCTTTTTTGGTACTGCCCGCCACGTCGCCACTGGTACCACCCCAACCACCGAACTGGAGCCTCCAGCCGCCTCGGACCGTTGACCAACCTCAAAAGTTCATCCATGGTGGACTCAGTCCGGGCACCTGCCTCGAAAAACCGGACCGTGGTGGTCCCCTGGCCCGCGCCCTGCCGCTTCGCCAAAAGCTCCTTGACCTTGGGGAACCACCGGTGGTGGACCCCATAATCAAGGATTTCGTTGGACTGCAGCGGCCTCCCCATGTGGTGGTCTTCATGGAGCTTGTAGCCATAGACGACACAGATAGAGCTCTTTGACACTCTCTTTCACCAGGTTTTGCAGCCCGAATGTGCACCATGGTTGTGTCTATGGTTCATATTGACAAAAAGACATGTGTGGCGCGTTGACGGCCCGTTGTCGAGCTCCACGTCGCCCTCGTCAAGTGCCTAGGCTCGGCAATCTCCGTGCCCAGCACTCCTGTTGCGCTGCGGATTTCTGAAATTCCTACTGTAGGGCTTCACGCTGCGAGCTGACACGGAAATGCTGAGAACTGGTAAATGCAAGAAGGCCGCTGAAGCAACATTGTGCCACATGGCATCAATGAGACAGCAACTGCAACATTGTCGATCACCAGAACGACATACATGGACATGATGTTGTTCATCTTCGCACTCTTGATTTGCATGCCATTCGGCCTCCAGCACAATTCCGAAGTCTTTGTGATGCGGAAGAAGTCCTTTTGCTGTCCGTTTGCCACGCTCGGTGGGCGAACGAAAGTGTGCCCTCCAAGTGTCACATCCACGTGACCGTCAGCCTCCAGTTTATGCAGCACACTGCGAAGGGTCATGGTTGCGCTCATGTCTTTGCAGCTGTGCCTTGCACGACTTGTCGAGCCCCAAACGCTCAGCCCGCATGTACACTTTACCCAGGCATCGCTGGAAAATGGGGGCTGGCACAAGTTATCGGATCCGAAAAGAAAAAACAGTGGCTCATCCCTGAGGTACAAGCTCACGCAACGTCGAAGGTCGAATGCGGCTTCTATGACAAGTTTCGGGTCCCACAGGCGGAAAGAACGCAAAAGACTCGACACACCAACAGGGCATATAGCTGAACTGATACGGGATGCTTGCGCATAAGAAACGCTGGGTTTCTCAATGCATCTCCGAGCTTAAGCCCCAAACTTCCACGCCCGCGACGCACGTTCCAGAAGCACGGGTGGACAAGAACGCACCGAGCAGCAACCAGCGAGAAAAGGAGCAAACGGTCCCGAATCACCAGAAAGTTGACTTGCATAATTTATTCCTCATGTTGACTTATGGCAATCAGAACCCTAAATAGGCGTGTAACTTTAATTTGTCCTTGGGGTTTCCTTTGCGGAACCCTCGAATGCATGTTTCCTGCATAGTTGGTCCATAGGGTTAGTTACTATAACTAGACCCAAAGCCCTATTCTCATTAGCAAGGCCCAATCAGGCTTGTAGGTTCAGGGTTAGGGTGTTGGATTTACGGTTCAGGGTCCTAGGGTTAACAGTTGTAGTATCCCTCGAAGTTTTGGGTTCAGTGTTAGGGCTTGCTTGAGATTGATAGATTTCTATATTACAGGAATCTATCAATCTCAAGCTCAACATTTCCCGAATAAGTGTGAACTACGAGCGCCACTGTTGGAGCTACTTGCTTAACCCCTCAAAAACCCTGAACCCTAATCATTAATGGTCTAATTAAATTAGTAACCATCCTTCGACTGTCGCCGTTGTCCTACTTAACAGCAAAGCAAGAGACGGGCCAAAATATACCTTAACCCTAAACGGCTGTGTATACCGCAGTGCAGAGTTCGACGCTCTGCTTCACTCTATGATAGGTGTCTACAGCGATCTCCTGATATCACTCGTTGCTGTTGGGGGGGGGGGGTATCTAGCTCCCAGAGACTGCAAAACCCCAAAATTAAGGAATATACCTTAAATCATATTAGGGTTCCTATTAATAATGTAATTTATCCAAAACCCTAAGCCCTAAACCGTCCTAAGCCCCTAAACCCCCAAACCCCTAAACCCTAAACCATTCCTTAGTTTAAGGTATATTCCTGAATTAAGGAGGTTTTGGGAGTTTGGGTTCCTGTTAGAATTTATGGTATACTCCTTAATTAAGGGATCCTAAACCCTAAACCCCTAATTGAGGTATATATTCCTTAATTAAAGGGGTTTTGGGAGTCACGGGGCTTCCTTGTTCTGGGATCCTGCACCATCCCTGCGTCAGGGATCAGGGCAGGCTTAGGAATTCGGGGTTTAGGGTTCTAGGGCTCTAGGATTTAGGGTTTTTAGGGTTGTTAGGGGTTTCGGGTTTAGGGTTTTTAGGGCTTAGGGTTTAGGGCTTTTAGGGCTTTTAGGGCTTAGGGTTTTTAGGGCTTATAATGTTAGGGTTTACGGATTCGGGATTTAGGATGTTTAGGTAGGCCTCGCGAGAACAGGAAGTTTCCAGTACTATTGAGGCTAGCTTGAAGTTGGGTCTTGATGGCTGTGCCTTATCAGCACGGAAGCCCCGTGCATGTGCCAGTCGCCTACAGCGACCACATGCAGCATTGCTCTCAGGCAGGCGGCACGGCCAATGCAGCGGTATAGGAACAATGCATCAGACTATACACCCTAAACCCTAAACCCTGAAACCTAAGCACTACTCCGGTTTAGGGTTCAGAACCTCGGGTTCGCCTGGCAGAATCATCGCAACTTCCCGCCACGAGTGTCAGCACCAGTGATCGTCATCATGTGCAGCTTAGGTTTTACGTAAACGGTACTACTGTTGATGATTTAAAGCCTGCATTACCTTAAGGAACCTAAACTATGCGAATTGTGGTATTGTCCTTAATATGCATAATGCAGCATTTAACCCTTCAGCCGTAGTTTACTAGGTTCCCCAGTAACCCCTTAACAACAAGGGTACCCTTTTTCCCAATATTCGGCTTTAATACGGAAATAAAAAGGGCAAAAGTGTAGAGCTGGGGAGCCGTAGTTTAAGACTCCTGGAAGATACTAGTAGTGGTGGTTGAGGTCTCTATATGCAATGCTCCATGCCGCAGGTTTAAACAACCGGCCGAAACCCTAAACCCTAAACCCCAAAACCCTACACCCTAAAACCCTAAACCCTAACACCCTAAAACCCTACTAAACCCTAAAGCCCTAAAACCCTAAACCCTAAAACCCTAAAGCCCTAAAACCCTAAACCCTAAACCCCAAAACCCTAAACCCTTTCAGGTTCTTCGGTCCGAAGACCCTGCTGCACGAGGCCGCCTGGGGTTGGTCCTGAGCCTTGGGAGAGGTTTAGGGTTTAGGGTGTAGGGCTTAGGGTTTAGGGTGTAGGGTTTAGGGTTTTATAGGGTTTAGGGTTTAGGGTTTATAGGGCTTATAGGGTTTAGGGTTTAAGGTTTAGGGTTTATGGGGTTTAGGGTTTCTGGGTTTAGGGTTTAGGGTTTCGAGACACTTTCCCACCACACTGGCGCGTTGCTTCCCGGGGGCTCGCTCTCCTCTGTCAGAAGGCAGCAGCCGAGCACCTGGCGATTCGCATAATTCGGCTGGTACAGTATATCTTTTACAGATAAAAAGGACATATATATATATACACATACATACATGTGTGTATTTATATATATATATATATTATTTATTTAAATATCTATTTGTGCATTTATCTAACTATCTATTTTTATATTTACACACATATGCACATGCACATGCATTTGCACAGCTGTTCGTGCTTATGCATTGTTCCTTCGGTTGCCCTAGCGAAACTAGACCGTGGCTTTTAGTTCATATCGCTGCACCAATACTTCCAGCGCATGGGGGTAGGCTCCCGAACCCAACGGAATCTAAGTGCCCAAACAGTACAAAGGGGCTCCTACTTGGAGGTCCATGGGTAGTTACAAGTGGGGTTCTAAGCAGGTTAACTATAGTTATAACCCATATTAGGGGACTTATAACGCCACTTATAACTACCCATGAACCTCCAAGTACAGTAGGAATGTCCATTATGGTTTGCGTAAGCAGCCCCGCAGACCCACGCAGATTGAGAATAGGTACTTAGGACCCTTTGAGTTAAGGTGTTTTGGGGTGCAGGGCTCTGGGCTTTAGGGTGCGTTTGGGGAGAAGGGCCCACCAAAATGGGCAAACACGTGACTCTAAAAAGTAGCCACAGAAATTGTGACATGCCGCTAGGACTCAGTGTTATAGGGAGGCGTGTTCCCGATGTACCCTCTGCACGAAGACCTTTCAAGCAACTCCAATCCTTAGAATAGGGTGTTGGTATACTCGGCGAAACATCTCTGAAGGAACTCGAACTTTAACCGTAACCCCTAAACCCTAAACCCTAATTTAGGCTCCAAAACCGGAGTCCCCATGGACCCTCTCCCTTAAAGGAAACTGCAGGTGGGGAGTTTAGGTATTTGGGTTTAGGGTTTAGGGCTTTAGGATTTAGGGTTTAGGGTCTAGTGAAAGGAAACTATAGGTGGGGAGTTTAGGGAAAATAGGGCTTCTATAAGGCTTCTATAAGGTATTCGGACCTTCTATAAGGCGCCTCTAACGGTAACTACCCACCTGAAAATGTCTTAGACTCCATTGAACGACCTTTTAGAAGAATCTCAGTGTCGATTCTTCACCTCCCCTGAACCCGAAGCCCGAACCACCAAACCCTAAACCCCAACCCCGAAACCCCGAAACCCCTAAACCCCTAAACCCCTAAACCCCTAACCCCTAATTAAACCCTTAATCCTAAATCCTAAACTCTAAATCCTAAACCCGTAAACTCCTAAACCCTAAACCCGAAATCCTGAACCCGTAGACCCTACTCTTTGACTTGCTGTTGCCTCATCGCTCGAAACGGAAAGTCGAGTTGATGGAGGCATTCACAGCCTTCTCCCTGACATAGGCTTAGGGTGTATGGTTTATAGGGTGTATAGGGTTTATACGGCTTATAGGGTTTATAGGGTTTATAGGGTTTAGGACATGAAATGATGGGGCATCTGAAGTTTCACAGGTCAGCCCTCTACGTTAGCTAAGTACCGGTTAGTCAACCCTGTGCGGCACGTTTTGTCCGAGGGGACTTGAGCAAGGCAGTCGCAGGTTAATACAGGTGCAAAGGATCACAAAAGTAATGCTGGAGGCAGGGTAAAATCTACACCCCCCTCGCCGTGCAGCTCAAGCTAAGGCGGATAAAGTACACTGGCTCCAGGTTGCCCCGGGCTATAGAGTGGTACTGGCCAAAGCGAGCTTTTATAAAGCACGGGAGAAAAGGTCCTG